TTTTGTTTCTAAATTGGTTAGCGGGGGGGGGGGCGGGGGCGGGGGGGTGCTAATGATTAAACATAATTACTTTAAAAAGTTAACCTCTTTTATGTTTTTCAAAAACTTCAATAAAAATACATTTCACACATTTTTGTTGGTTAGATCGCACAATTGAGAATCTTAAGGCCTAAATGGGAAGCAAAATCTAAATTCAATTTTCTTAACGTTAGCATTAAGACCCTCTTTATTTTCTTCCCATAAATTGTGGGTGGGGGGGGGGCAATAAAAAAAAATTACATATACCTATAATTGTGTAAATCTTTTTTAAAAAGAGAAAATTGTCTGTCTAAGACTCTACAAAATAAAATTTAATTAAAACATTGACTTCACTTCCGTTTAAAGAAGATGAGTGCGTTCGACAGCAGCTTGTCGTGTGTTCTTTCTTTTTTTTTTTTTTTTTTTTTTTTTTTTTTTTTTTTTTTTTTTAAAATTAAAAAAAAAAAATCACAATTAGAAGGTCAAATAAGTTCAAATAAAAATATCAAAATTTATTAGCGTCACATGAGTCATTGTTTGGCCCAATACGAAAAGAAGTTGCGCCGTAACACAAGGTAAGATCTTCTGTGTCATCGTCTCAAGACATTTAGAGATGTCCTCTTTGTTCACGTTAATTTCTACAACAGTGAAAGTATTAGATGAACTCAGCCACATTGTCCACTTCATAAGTTACTGGTCAACAAGGTTGCCAACTCTTTTTTATTTTTAAATTAAAAATTACGGACAGTCTTTTACGGATAAGCAAAATCTTTTATGGATAAGCAAAGTATTTTATGGATACGTGCTTGAATTTATTTTTATTTTTTTTATTTCGTAAGCTCTTGTAAAAAAAACAAACAACATAAGTATGTCTCCGACTATGTTAAGTCTGTCTCCGACTATGTTAAGTCTGTCTCCGACTATGTTAAGTCTGTCTCCGACTATATTAAGTCTGTCTCCGACTATGCTAAGTCTGTCTCCGACTATGCTAAGTCTGTCTCCGACTATGTTAAGTCTGTCTCCGACTATGTTAAGTCTGTCTCCGACTATGTTAAGTCTGTCTCCGACTATGTTAAGTCTGTCTCCGACTATGTTAAGTCTGTCTCCGACTATGTTAAGTCTGTCTCCGACTATGTTAAGTCTGTCTCCGACTATGTTAAGTCTGTCTCCGACTAGGTTAAGTCTGTCTCCGACTATGTTAATTCTGTCTCCGACTAGGTTAAGTCTGTCTCCGACTATGTTAAGTCTGTAAATATACTGACGGTTGGCCAAACATGCTGGGACACCACCCGCCTGGTCATATTGAACATAACTAATCCCCTCGCTTATCAAAAACTAATCCAAGAGAAGCAAGGTGAATTCTTAGAACATCCCCTGCTTTCAGTTTTGATTTAGAATGACACTCTGTCGCACAGTACCACCACGTTATCAACAGCGAGAGGTCCCCTCGACTCAACATGGGAGCAGAACAGAGCGTCTACGAACACAACACGAACCTTCTGAGGAGTCTCAAACCTGGCGACATCGTCAAGTTTCACCGTGGGGCCTACTACCACTTTGCTATTTACATGGGTAAGTCTAAGGTATGTAAGTGTAGGATTTATTTGTGAACGTTTGTATGTGAGTGTATGAATAGCAAAAGTAAGATTTGTAAGTTTAGAATTGGTAGTGTATGATTCGTAGGTGTACAATTTCTAAAGGTATGATTTGTAAGTATATGGTAAGTGTATGATTTGTAAGTGTATGTTATATAAGTACGATTTATAACTGTGTGATCATTAAGTGTGCCATATGTAAGTATACGATATGTAACACCATGAAAAGTAAGTGTATGATATGTAATTTTAGGATATGTAAGTGTAGGATTTGTGTTAAAAGGTTCAAGTATCATAATTATTGTGTAATTATGTTACTTAGTTAAACCCTAAAATCCCGTCATTTTACATTCAAAAGTATGTGTCGTGTTACCCCCACCTTTTCTCCCCGAAGGGTGGGGTGGGGGGCCTAGGGTGTGGCTAGCTTCCCTTAAAAGTCAAGTTGTCTTCAAATCGTACAGAGATTGGTTATGACGATCTGATCGATGACCTTCTGTCATGACTCATTCGTATCGTGTCTCAGTTCGCCATAACTATACCGATGACACAGCATTGGCCATATTTTCCACGAGGTACTGTTTGTTTAGAACCAGTGGAGTCGGAGTGGAACGGGCTTGGCAGGAGGCAAAAACATAAGCAGTAGTGGTATTAGTCTTAATATTTTAGACTAGCAGTCTTGTTACCTTTACGATTGTTCATTATCTATAAGAACAAAATTCTTAGCCACACGCCTTTTCCCATGTTAGCCACATGACTTCTCCCGTATCAGCCACACGACTTCTCCCGTCTTAGCACACGACTTTTCCCGTCTTGGCCACACGACTTCTCCCGTCTTAGCCACACAACTTTTCCCGTCTTAGCCACACAACTTCTCCCGTCTTAGCCACACGAATTCTCCCGTCTTAGCCACACGACTTTTCCCGTTTTAGCCACGTGGCTTTTTTCCGTCTTGGCCACACGACTTCTCCCGTCTTAGCCACACGACTTTTCCCGTCTTAGCCACACGACTTTTCCGTCTTAGCCACATGACTTTTCCCGTCTTAACCACACCACATCCCATAGCCATAGCCACTGCTGTACAGAGTGACACTGGAATGTACGACATTTCGAATAGGGCTGTAGAATTTTATCACTTACATCCCATAATATCTTCAGATTGATTTCGAGGTGAACCAAATTTTTTCTGGGTTTTTTCTAGACAGACGGAGCACTGGAAAGATATAAGAGTTTCGTTATCTGAACGTGAGGCGCGCTCAATGGAATCCTTATCGCAAGTAAACCACGGGACGAAAACTGGGTTCTCAAACTAGACAGCTAGGGGACAGACATTCGGTCAACACGATCTAAGATGGAGGACAAACCAGTTTGACCGTTCCTTCACTTGTGTTGGCCGTGTCGTTTAGTTATAGTGTGTGTTTCAGCGTATAACTTTGAGTGTATAACTTTGAGTGTATAACTTTCAGTGTATAACTTTAAATGCTTAATTTTAACAAGATTTTTCCCGCCTTGTTAATATAACATGCATATGTTTAACTTTACAATAAAGGATCATCTTTAAAACTAACTCTTTTTCATTAAAAAAATTTTTAAAAGTTAATGTCATTCTCTGACAAAGTAATTATCTAAAAACGTTAAAAAAAATGAACGTCACCAAAAGTGTATGAGAAAAATGTAGCTGAAAATTTGTAATCAGCAACGTCCCCAAGTTCTCTGACATGTCAAAGATAAGATCTCTATGTAATCAGCAACGTCCCCAAGTTCTCTGACATGTCAAAGATAAGATCTCTATGTAATCAGCAACGTCCCCAAGTTCTCTGACATGTCAAAGATAAGATCTCTACGGACGTATTTGTAGTTTCCGCGTGTTATTTCAAGTAGTGCCTGACATCTGATAAGAGTTGTTAGGCGTGCCCATCAGGTTCCTCGCAATGTTGACCAGCCCACAGGATAACTCAGTTAAATCAATTATCAACCGAAGGTCAATCAGCAACATACGGTATCGATCACCTCAAGATGCTAGTGGAGTTTATAAAATATGAAATGGCTGGTTTGGGGGAAAAACCTGACAAAAAAGACAAAGTAAAGAAGAGTTGGCAAGAAGCATTCTTCAGCGGACAGAGCAGAACGAACAGAGAATTGGATCAGAGCAAACAAAAAATACAAATCTTCGCGTGGTATCTCAAAGAACTGCCTAAATGATGACGTCATCATCTTGATTTCATGATGTGTCAAACCATTCCACAATTCTAGTGTACAGATTTTATGTTGTGTCCCACCATTGCACAATTCTAATGTACAGATTTCATGTTGTGCCCAACTATTGCAAAATTCTAGTGTGCAGATTAGTTGTTGTATCCATCTATTGCACAATTCTAGTGTGCAGATTTCATGTTGTGCACAACCATTGCACAATTCTAGTGTGCAGATTTAATGTTGTGCCAAAGTTTAGCACAATTCTTATAAATAGATTTCATGTTGTGCACAACTATTGCACAATTCTAATGTACACATTTCATGTTGTGCCAAACTATATCATAATACTTGTGTACAGATTTCATGTGATGGCATTTCAACAAATACATAAAATTCGATTTACCAATGCCCCAATGTTGTTGTTTTTTGTGTAGACAGTGTCGCCACATCATTGAGAGAGGGGCGGGAAACAAAGTCAATATCTATTTAAATATGTACGTCAAAATTTTTCAATTTGAAATTTCCATCATGCTCATTCATTTAGTATATGTTGTGAGTCATTCACACCCTGAGATGGCCTAGGCGATTTTCGACTTGAGTTGTAGCCTTGACCTGCGCTGTATTTCGTTTAAAGTCAGGCTAGAGTTGCTCAATTCGTCAGCCTCACTCCCTCGTCCTTGACTATTTGATCCAATGGCGAGACGACTCATAGACCAGGATGCAGTAGGGGACCAGTGGTGTGTTTGTGTGTGTGTTTCAATGCGCTCTTTTGCGTTCTATGTGGCATGACTTGTCGGAGTTTTTATTTTGTCAATGACATACCGCCTAAGGTACTCCATCTCTGGGTTTCATTTCATAGTTTGCCTTCACTTAGATGCGTTGACATGAAAGGAATGTACAGTGGAGTGTTCATTTTGACAATGCCGATTATCCGAAACGCCTTTTTTTATCCAAAGTGCCTATGTTATATTAATAACATTTCCTATTATTATTGTTAATAACATTTACTGTTATTATTAATATCGTACGCCATGCGCAAACACCATAAAACGAATATCCGAAATCTGTCGTACAACGTATGAAACATGTCGCTAAGAACTGTGCATGCAGTGATCAGACTGGAATAGCTTCCATATCCGTCATTGTGAAACCTCGTCCATTTTCAAAAAGTCCCTTAAAACTCATCTGTTTAGGTCCGCCTATGACCTGTGATGCACCCTCCTTGCCCTGCCTCGTTTTCTGTTTCGGGTTGATCCTGAAGAATAGGCCAAAACGTGCCAAAGTGTCCTCGTTTTATAGCCATTTTCATTGTTTCTATAGTATAGTAGTTACTATCCTAGTGTCTCATTTTTATTTTACTTAGTTTACATGTTTTTAATAATTGTAAAGCGCCTAGAGCTTTATGGTAAGCGCTATATAAAAATGCCTAAATAAATAAATACTGTCATCAGCAAACGTCTTTTGGTTTATATCGCAGAATACGCGCCTGCAAAGTTTTTTTTATTTACGGTAACTTTTTGTGTTCTCCAGGAGATGAGATCGTCATTCACATTCGAGGTTTGCCAGAAAACACAGCCAGAGACTACGTCAGGCCATTGTTCGTTGGCTCAGTGGGCAGCGTGCCACAAGAAAAAGTCGAAATAGCCGAGGAGGATTTTTGGACAGCGGCCAACAACTGCAAGGGATATCTAGCAAACGACGAGTAGGTAGCGATCTAGCAAACGACCAGTAGGTAGCGATCTAGCAAACGACGAGTAGGTAGCGATCTAGCTTCAAAACGTCAGCAGCGTCTAGCTAGATACTGAGCTTGTTCAAACTAGATACTGGCTTAGTTCAAATTAGACACTGGCTCAGCTCAAACTAGATACTGGCTTGGCTTAAACTAGATTACTGGCTTAGCTCAAACGAGATACTGGCTTAGCTCAAACGAGATACTGGCTTAGTTCAAACGAGACACTGGCTTAGCTCAAACGAGATACTGGCTTAGTTCTAACGAGATACTGGCTTAGCTCAAACGAGACACTGGCTTAGTTCAAACAAGATACTGGCTTAGTTCAAACGAGATACTGGCTTAGTTCTAACGAGATACTGGCTTAGCTCAAACGAGATACTGGCTTACTTCAAACAAGATACTGGCTTAGTTCAAACGAGATACTGGCTTAGTTCAAACGAGATACTGGCTTAGTTCAAACGAGATACTGGCTTAGCTCAAACGAGATACAGGCTTACTTCAAACAAGATACTGGCTTAGTTCAAACGAGATACTGGCTTAGTTCAAACGAGATACTGGCTTAGTTCAAACCAAATACTGGCTTAGCTCAAACGAGATACTGGCTTAGTTCAAACGAGCTACTGGCTTAGTTCAAACCAGATACTGGCTTAGTTCAAACCAGATACTGGCTTAGTTCAAACGAGATACTGGCTTACTTCAAACAAGATACTGGCTTAGCTCAAACGAGATACTGGCTTAGTTCAAACGAGATACTGGCTTAGTTCAAACCAGATACTGGCTTAGCTCAAACGAGATACTGGCTTAGTTCAAACGAGATACTGGCTTACTTCAAACAAGATACTGGCTTAGCTCAAACGAGATACTGGCTTAGGTTCAAACGAGATACTGGCTTACTTCAAACAAGATACTGGCTTACTTCAAACGAGATACTGGCTTAGTTCAAACGAGATACTGGCTTAGCTCAAACGAGACACTGGCTTAGTTCAAACGAGATACTGGCTTAGTTCAAACAAGATACTGGCTTAGTTCAAACGAGATACTGGCTTAGTTCAAACGAGATACTGGCTTAGCTCAAACGAGATACTGGCTTAGTTCAAACCAGATACTGGCTTAGCTCAAACGAGATACTGGCTTAGTTCAAACGAGATACTGGCTTAGTTAAAACGAGATACTGGCTTAGCACAAACGAGATACTGGCTTAGTTCTAACGAGATACTGGCTTAGTTCAAACCAGATACTGGCTTAGCTCAAACGAGATACTGGCTTAGCTCAAACGAGATACTGGCTTACTTTAAACAAGATACTGGCTTAGCTCAAACGAGATACTGGCTTAGTTCAAACGAGATACTGGCTTAGTTCAAACCAGATACTGGCTTAGCACAAACGAGATACTGGCTTAGTTCTAACGAGATACTGGCTTAGTTCAAACGAGACACTGGCTTAGTTCAAACGAGATACTGGCTTAGTTCAAACGAGATACTGGCTTAGTTCAAACGAGATACTGGCTTAGTTCAAACGAGATACTGGCTTAGTTCAAACGAGATACTGGCTTAGTTCAAACGAGATACTGGCTTAGTTCAAACGAGATACTGGCTTAGTTCAAACGAGATACTGGCTTAGTTCAAACGAGGTCCTGGCTAAGTTCAAACGAGATACTGGCTTAGCTCAAACACGACACTGGCTTAGTTCAAACGAGACACTGGCTTAGTTCAAACGAGGTCCTGGCTAAGTTCAAACGAGATACTGGCTTAGTTCAAACGAGACACTGGCTTAGTTCAAACGAGACACTGGCTTAGTTCAAACGAGATACTGGCTTAGTTCAAACGAGATACTGGCTTAGTTCAAACGAGATACTGGCTTAGTTCAAACGAGATACTGGCTTAGTTCAAACGAGATACTGACTTAGTTCAAACCAGATACTGGCTTAGTTCAAACGAGATACTGGCTTAGCTCAAACGAGGTCCTGGCTAAGTTCAAACGAGATACTGGCTTAGTTCAAACGAGACACTGGCTTAGTTCAAACCAGATACTGGCTTAGTTCAAACGAGATACTGGCTTAGCTCAAACGTGATACTGGCTTAGTTCAAACCAGATACTGGCTTAGTTCAAACCAGATACTGGCTTAGTTCAAACCAGATACTGGCTTAGTTCAAACGAGGTCCTGGCTAAGTTCAAACCAGATACTGGCTTAGTTCAAACGAGACACTGGCTTAGTTCAAACGAGATACTGGCTTAACTCAAACGAGATACTGGCTTAGTTCAAACGAGACACTTGCTTAGTTCAAACGAGATACTGGCTTAGTTCAAACGAGATACTGGCTTACTTCAAACGAGATACTGGCTTAACCCAAACGAGATACTGGCTTAGTTCAAACCAAAGTTTCAGTGTCTAACTCCTCCGATTTTATGTCGCTGATTTCAAGTTTAGAGGATATCAACAAAGTGATGTCAGGGCTTTAATCCTGCAGGAACACAACAGGAACGCCGTTCCCGTAAGCATTCGTGCAGGATAGTCATTTGAGCTAAGCGAGCTGTGTGGCTGTGAGGGAAAAATAATCATTCAATAACGTGCTTATTTTTTTAGTATTGCTAACAGGTAAAACATCTGGCCTTACATTTCTTTTAATACCAGTGGCACTTAATGATAGATCTTCCCCTGTACTTGCTAATAAATAACATTCGGAAAATTCATATTTATTTGGAGAGGTAGGGGATTTTGGGTGAGTTCAAACATCATTTCCCCCTAGAATTGGTAACAATTAAATAAGTGGAAGAATATCAAAATTAACGGATTCTTTTTTCTTATAACATTAAGTGCAATGTCGAACCGGAAGCAAAAAAAAAAAAGAAAAAGAAAAGAAGAGGTTTAAGTTGAGAATAGTGCAGAAATGTGTAGAAAGTTATCTTTGCTTGGGCATCTTAAATTGTTTTAAATGTTACATAAAAAATTAAAAAAGTGGAAGAAAATAAAAATTAACGGATTCTTTTTTCTTATAAAATTAAGTGCAATGTCGAACCGGAAGCAAAAAAAAAAAAAAGAAAAAGAAAAGAAGAGGTTTAAGTTGAGAATAGTGCAGAAATGTGTAGAAAGTTATCTTTGCTTGGGCATCTTAAATTGTTTTAAATGTTACATTAACAGAACGAAAGAGGCCTTTAAGGTTGATGATATATTGAGGCGAGCAAAAGCAAGCCTAGGGCCGACTGAGTACCATTTACTTCAGAAAAACTGTGAGCATTGGGTCAACAAGATCAAATACGACAAGGAGGAGAGTCAACAGGTGAGCAGTGGGTCAAGGAGATCAATTCAAAAACACAGGGTAGGGGAAAACCTGGGCAAAACAATGCAACAAAATAGCAGCCGTTTCGGCAAGACGCCTTCGTCGACACACAGAAAAGTACCATTTTTTAAATATTAATACATTACTTAGGTTCTCTGGGAGGCTTGCTAAGTTATTTTTTTTTAAACCTCTTTAAAAATACTCTGTACTGAACTATTAGCCAAATTTTTTTTAGTCTTTCCCCTATCATTTTTTTAATATTTCCTGTTGCTTCAACGTGAACGCAGACATTACTATATTGCAATAAGGTCAATTAGGTCAGGAATGAAATTAAATAGCGTTTTCATTATTTGTTTTAAAAATAATTTATACTCCCCTTTTCAACAGGCGACCAATTTCACCATTGGCATGGGTGCAACAGGAGTGATACTAGGGACGGCAGCTGCCCTTGGTGGTGTTGTTGGCTACATGCTCACTAGAGAGCCCAAAAAATCCGAGACGGACGGTTCGAATGGGACAGTGGAAAATTTTAGATAATTTTTGTTTTGTTTTTTGTAACCCATTAATTTGGATTTTCTCACTTTTAAATTAAAAAAATTGAAAATTGATTTCATTTAACTTATTTGTGGCTGAATATATTTTTTCAGCTTATTTAAAATCTAATAGTTAACCGTTTTTTACAGCCTTTTCGAGTGTCAACATCTCGCTACACTCTTTTAAGGTACCATATTAAAGAGATATTCGGGAAGTGTCTTAATCCAACAATAATTTAATATTAGATCGTATAATCAGAAAAAACAAGATTATTTGGGTTCATAAACTAATAAAATATATAAATATCTGGCAGACGTCAAAATCTGAATCTAATATTTTGAACGCTGTCATAACTAAAGTATTTCGTTACCTTAAGATTTCTTTTAGCTACGAAGCAAGTTTCCATTAATATTTCCAATGAGATGGTGAAGATTGTTTTCAGATGCACTTTTTAAAAACTAAGGAACTGACTAACAATTTCTGTCGCGGAAAAAAAAGGGGAGGGGGGGGGGGTGGTGGGGCGACCAAAATTGTTGATCCAGAACAACAGAGTGAAATTATAGAGAAAGTATCAACGTATAAAAAAAAACTGTTTGTTCATCAACAAAGTAATAAAGTATGATCACTGCCAAATTATTTGTAATAAATTTCATCCAATGCCATTTCAGCTCTTGAAGAGGTAGAAAACTCAATAACAACAAAGTAATTTAACTATTAAACAGTGCGAAATGTAAACCCTAATGACCTTCAGTATTTACCAGGCTGTTACGGGAAATCGTAATTTCTCATCAGACAGTGATTGCCAGTAAAAACATCGCTGCTTGAACGGATTTGCAAAATCTGTAACGTCTATTTTGCGTCACAAGTCATGTTGAAAAAGCATATTCAACAGCACCGACGAGGCAATCTTGAGCATAAGAGATTACCACCTGCTCCTCAACAAAAAATTATTCGACTACTGCAAATAGCTGCCAGGAGACAGAGAGAGCTTATGGCAATTATTGCTCACTCCAACAATGCTTCTTCTATTGTAAGTGCTGAATGATTAGATGAGGATGATGTTAACATGTCTGGTATATCGGTTCCGCAATATGAAAATAATAAATCTGCTCCTATGCCCATTGTTACGATCTAGCATCATCTGCCTACTCCGTGGGAAGATGACAGCAGCTAGAAACTATGCTACAATTGTCAGCTATGCTGACAATAATCATATTCATACTTTCACAATGACATACATTTTAATTTATTCTGTATTATAAAATGTAAGTATAAAAACATGTTAAATTTTTTATTAACAAGCTAAAGATGAAATAAAATGTTTTTCCTTCAATTTTGTATCATTAAAATAGAGCAGCACAGAGTAAAATGTATTTATTTTTATTACAATTCAAATATTTTATTTATTTTATTTGTGTGTGTGTGTGTGGGGGGGGTATAAAAATGTTGACATAATTACTTGGGGGGGGGGGGTCCTTGAAAGTTTGACAGTTGTTGACAAGGGGGTAAAAATTGCTAAAAAATTGTTCACATAATTAATGGACGCCCCATTATGTTAAATTGTAGTAGTTCAAAATTGTTAAGTTAATCTTAATTGTTTCGTCTTATTTTTCTAAAACTGTACACAGTATTGTTTTTTTAATTCTAAAAAAATCTATATCTGAGAAGAAATAGACGAATTTTATTTATCTGACTAAGATTTATGTTTGTGGAATAAACTAGAATGGACCACCATGTTATTGCTGAAATGGGCGCTAGAGAACAAAAAATAAATATTAAACATTTGCAACTGATGCCTGTTTGGATTATTTAAATGAATATATTCTAAATAATATTCATCATAAAAAAATGAATTAATTTTTGGCCAATAATGGGTCTATAAGGACGTTTTTATCGGACAAGTCTACTAATAATTTGTCTAGAAGGTAGATTGAGGCTGGTCACCATTGGAGAAAAGACGACGACTATCCAGGCTCTCCATGGTGTACAAGATAAACAATGAGCTGGTCCACTGCTCCGGCATTAAACGAAATCTCGTCCCTTTACCCCCCTAGACAGCAAGGTGGCCACGACAGGCAGTTCCGGCTCATAACAGCAAGAAAGCAGCACATGAACTGCTGATTCCTGCCCAAGACAATCAGGGACCGGAACAAGCTTCCACACGGAACCGTTGAGGCGTCAACACTTAAGACATTTGCGTCTATTGCCTCAGGCCGTCCAACCACTCCCCCCGTCTATTGCCTCAGGCCGTCCAACCACTCCCCCCCCCGTCTATTGCCTCAGGCCGTCCAACCACTCCCCCCATCTATTGCCTAAGGCCGTCCAACCACTCCCCCCCGTCTATTGCCTCAGCCTGTCCAACCCCCCCCCCC